TACATTTTGTAAAATACATTTTTTTAAAAAAAACGTACATTTTGAAAAAATGTATATTCTAATTTACTCTCTATTCTTACATTTGATGCTATGTGGATGACACCCACTTTCACATACTAAATTAGAGCGTTTACATTTGCAAGTATTATTTTTGCATTCACCCTTACAATTGCATTTTGTGCCAGTTACGGTAGATGCTGATTGCATTCTTGCTGCTTTGTGTAAGTTAATAATTTTATCTTGACAAACATTAAGCTCTTCGTAACTAGTTGGTCCAAGCGGCATAAGTTCATTCACATCATAAGTTGTATCAAGAATTCCATTTTTACATTGTAAACGGTACATCTTGTCTGGCAATTCGCTAATTATTTTGCAAGGTAAAGTATACCGGTCAATGCTGTTACAATCTATTTTTAGAATAGCAATACATACATAATCGTTAATAGAGTATTCAAGAGGATGTTTATTTTTGTTTAACATCTGATCTTTCATTCGATTTCTATATTCAATCAGTGATTTATTGGCGTATTCACGAGAAAGTTGATGTTGTGATTGTGTATTTTGGATATTTTGTAATGGTAATCGTTGCAAATTACGCTATTAGATAAAATAATTTATTAGTGTTAGCAATACCAATTACAGAAGAAATATTTATAACATACATTATTTTCTGAATTCAACAATGAAGATTCAGAATGATCCAATATTGAAGGCTCAGATTTATTCGATATCAAAGATTCAGGTTCATTTAACACTGATAGTTCAGATTCATTTGACATTAGAAGTTTAGGTTCATTCGATACTATAGACCCAGGTTCATTTGATTCAAATAGTTGATCTTCGAAATTATCATTTGAATTATTAGAATCTTTGAAGAAATTATCAGGTAATGATTCTTCATCAACAATATCCTGTTGATGTATATCTTCAAGTACTGAAAAATGTTGAACAGGATCTTGTCCAAATACGAGTGAGTATGGTGATTTACCTGTTGCACGAACTGATTGTACATTCATTGCATCTAAATACATATATCTGCATGTAAATCAAATAATAATAAAAAATTAATTTAAAATCAATCAAATATATACTATACATACGTATAATTAATGGTAATCCCTCCATCCAATTATCTGAATTATTATCTTTCATCCATTTGCCAAGTTTAATCTGTAAGATTCCATTTGCCCTTTCAACCATTCCCTGAGACTGCGGATGTCTTGGACATCCATTTACAATTCTTACTCCTGGCCAAAGTGCCATTAATTCATAAATAATATCTGCGGTAAACTCCTTACCATTATCTGATTGAAGAATAATGGGGGCTCCAAACACAGTAAAAATATTATAAAGGAATACTGCTACCTCAGCAGCACGTTTGCTTGTTAAACATTGGGCCACGAGAATCTAGTAAAGTGGTTACGAACGTGACACACATACTTATATTCTCCTACAGGTTGAAAAGTTAACCTGATTAAATCTACCTAAACACGAGAAAAGAATTTTGTTGCCACAATTGGCTTTGCAGCCAAAGCACTTGGAAATGATCTACGTATTGCACAGGTTTTGCATGCATCGCAAAATTCTTTTATAAATGATTGAGGAATATAGTCATACTGACTTCTGATCTAAAAATGAAAAAACAAATTGCAAATGCATATTCATGTATTTATTTTACTATATATGTATAGTTAAATATTCAAAAAAAAATAATACATAATAATGTAAAAAATTCTTACAATATCCCACATTTTAGATGCTCCAACATGCTTTAAAATGCCCATATGAACTTTGCACAATATAACATAAAGATGATTAAAAGGGCATATGGTATGTATTATATCCAGTCCATTTTCATTTTTTGTGACTGTAATTATTTGTGTATTTGGGTTAGTTTCAGTTCCTAATTCACAGGCTGAAAGGAACTTTTAATCCAGTATCTATCTTTTGATGTTCCCAAGTTTGTATTATTGGGTTTACGAAGTACCGCAATAATAAGATCATAATCGGCTTGATTAATAAATGTTTTACGACGTCTATTTGGAGATTTTCCATCAAGGTATTTATTAATTAAATCATCGAAAACTTGTTTTAAAATAAAATAGTATTCTTGAGTTGACATTTTTGGTAAAGAATGTTTGCGAAATAAAGTAATTAATAAAATACGATTGTTTGATTTATAATCATTTGTTGTAAAATACAGTAATTAATAAAATACGATTATTTAATTTGTACGTAATCACTTGGTTGCATAAAATTC